GACGCCAGGTGAGAGGGGCACGGCGGGGGCGGGGCAGGGCAGGGCGCTGGGTGCAGATTGGGTCTGCCATGGGGCCATCAGAAGCTTGTGGCTGTCACTGAAGGGAGCTGAGCCTGTGGGTTCTGAGCTGGAGGCACTGGGGTGGGGCTTTGGGTTTCAATGGCAGCATCTGGATGGTTTCAGGGGGTGAGGGAAGAGCGGGAGATGGCAGGTGGCCTGGGTGGGGATGGCCCACATAGCTGGGGTCTGGATTTGGGCCAGGATTGGACGTGGGGTTGTGGGGGTTTCAAGGGTGACCTGAAGCTTGGTGATCTGGGGGGACAGCTGAGACGAGGCTGGATTGAGATGTCTGCATGGTGCTGAGTGTTGGCTGGTGGGGGGCGGCTTCTGAAAGCCCCGGGAACAGAGGACCTGGCTCTGAAGTGTGAGTTGCTGGGAGAGCAGGTGGGCAAGCGGCAGGCAAGGGCTTCTCCAGCCTCAGGAGAGTGGGTGCCTTGGTGAGAGCCCAGCGGTGGGGGATGTGGCTGATGCACGGCAAAGCTTTGAGGGCACCCGGCTGGGGTGGCGGTGAGGACCTGTGGGCAGGTGCATGTGCAACCAGCCACAGCCTCTGCACGAGTGAGGAGCAGGAGTGGCCAGAAGCCCCCTACAACTTGGCCTGAGTGTCCTGGGCAGCTGGAGAGCCCTCCAGCATCAGTGTGGGGGGAAAACAAGGGTGCATCCGCCACCAGCCTCACCAGTTTCTACAGAAAAGAGGCGCTGGGTAGAGGCTCACCACGTGGCTCCCGCCCTGTTCCCTTTTCACTTAATGCCAGCGGCCTCCCCTGGAATCCAAGCCCCTTAGGGAGGCACTAGGTGTGGAGGGCCTGCAGGGCCTGGGAGAGCTAGCAAGGGAGGACTCTGTTACCTCCTCCAGGCCGGGGAGGACCTTTCTAGGGAGGCACACACCTGGAATTCCCATATTCCACTATATTTCGTGGAATATACGGTACCCAGGATTTCTTGTGCTGCTGACAAGGCAGGCGATGCTGATGCTAATGAAACTGGAATGCGGCCCGGCCGGCAGGAAACGGGGTGCCTGCCCAAGCCTCGGGAACCCTCGCTACCCCGGCCCCGCCCACCGGCCCCAGGCAGAGGCTCAGGCGCACGCTCCGGGCTTTGCTGCGTTTATTGCGGGCGCCCCTGGCGGGAGGGCAGGTCTGGGGTGAAGTCACACGACCTCATCGGTCACCGGAATGGGGTTGGCCTGGGGACCTCCCGGGGATCCCCCCGCCGCCGTCGCCTCCTCCTCCTCGCTGGGCTTCTTGC